AGGAAAATTAATTTGAAAAATAACAATTAACTCTGGAACACATGAAGCAATCTCAGATAAATGCAATTGGAGTTCCCAAAGAAAGTATACAAAAAATAATTCAAATCATGGCCAAAATTTGATGAAACTATAAACCTACAGTTGCATGCAGCTCAATGTAGTGTAAGCATAAATGACACAAACAAAAGTACATCAAAGCACACTATGATCTATTGCTCAAAACCAGCCAGAGAAAAATGACACATTATATACCCAATAGCAGATTTCTCACATGAAACAAGAAAAAGCACAATGGAGCAACATTTAAGTATTAAAAAAAAATTTAAATCCATCAACTTAGAATTCTATACCCAGCAAAAAACGTATTTTGAAAATCAAAGTGAATGAGACTTCAAAGCTGCATATGAGAAATATTAAAGGAAGTTTTTCAGGCAGAAGATTAATATCAAAGTATAAATTGATCTAGATAAAGAAGTGAAGAGCTCCAGAAATAGTAGCTATGGGAATAATAGGGTTTTGGTTTTTTTCCCCTTATTGGAGTCTCCCTGAAATCATTGTAATACTACCATGGGGAGCTTTTAACAAAAATAAATGTAGAATGTATGTCAGTAGTACAGCCTCTCACAAGTAAGTATGGTGGGAACATAAAAAACAATCAGGAACTAATAAGAGACTATAAGTAGAAACATGGGGAGTTTTATGAAATAAACACTATATTCAACTAAACAATAAATATGGATAAAGGAATGGTTTTCTAGAAATGTAAATTATCCAAACTGACTCCTGAGAAAGTAAAAAATCTGTATAGATCAGTGATCTAAAATTGAGAAAATTGAGACAAGAATTAAAGAGCTACTTCTAAGGCAGAGCCACATAATTGTATAAATGAGCTCAAATAAATCTTGAATAGATTCAGTTATCCCCTGGACTTAGAAAAAGATAAGCTTACCAATTCATTTTACAAAGTTAATAGAACCATAATTCCAAAACCAAATTAATACACAATTTTTGAAAATCTTTGTCATTCATAATTACAGATTTACAACTTACTGAAACTGAAACCTGAGAAAATTAATAGGTCTAAGAATGAATTTGAAGCAAAAAATATATCATTTTAAGACAGAATGCAACTATGATTCAGGTTTATGCAATCTATTCAAAAAAGTTTGTTAAATTCTCATTTTTCTTACTCAATTAACTGACCATTGTTCTTTCTTTGCATCAGAAGCTTATCAATATTATATATATGCCAAGTCTTGGATTCTGGAAATTCTTATCTGGTGAATAAGATATGATAGGTCACTGTCTTCATCGAACTGTCTCAAGGAAGATAAAATTGTAGTACAGTAAAAAGTCTTTAATAAGAAATACAAGACACTATAGGAATACATAAATTGACAATCTAGATTTTGGAGTTCTGGAAGGGCTCTCTAAAGGAAGTCATGCTTCAACTGATCAGTGGACAGTTCCTGAGGGCTAATGAGGCAGAGTGATGAGAGGATTGAAGTAGGCAGAAACCAAAGTGAGGGGTCATATTAGGTTAAGAATTTCATATTTAAAGAGGCCTTGGAGGTGCAATTCAGGTAAATCACATAAGATTTATATACCCAAGTTTTATAGTATATAAAACAAATTTGAGGCAGGCTGGAAGAAAAAAAGAGAGTATGTTGGAATAATCCTGTTCAGATGATTGCCCATTCTACCATGGTGGCAATGGATATGGAAAAAGTGGTATAAAAATTGATTGGATGGGGAATGGTGGAGT